CGAGGGGAATCTGCCCACGTATGTGGGGCCCGTCTCATAATAAGTGTTCGCCACCGCCATGTAATTGTTGAGCATGTTCATATGATATAGTTTGCTCGCTTCTCCTTCGCGACCAGTAGGGAAGGAGCCGGCCGTCTCGTCGCCGTCGGGGCCCGTGGCGAATCTATCGTTCAGGTCCATCATGACGATCGGAGTGAATCTCGATGGTGTGGACAACAGCTCTGTGTGTACCCATGCTGCAAGCTTCGTCATTGTGGCCCTCCACTGCGGGACCTTCTTCTTATCCCATGGGGCTGGTGGTGAGTATGCTACGATGATCTTGAGCTTGGTCGCGCCCTGCTCGAGAGTGATGGCGCCCCCACGTCCAAGTAGTTCCTGGGGGGGCATGTGATGTCCTTGATGTGTCTGGTCTTGAACCTCGAGTTCAGGAGAATCGCGCAGCCCGCTGAGTTGTTGATGTGCATGCTGGGCCTGCCGTAGCCGAAGTGAATGGCCATGTGGTGATCGTAGTTCTGAGTGTGATGAGCACTATGAGGATGTTTCGGGATCTTTGTGCCAGGGCATGCGACGATGTGCACTTGCTTGAGCTGTGCGCTGACCTCCTCGCCGCGAGTGCCCACGAGACTGAATGGGTTGAAGACCGCGAGCGAAAGGAAGGACACTCGAGCGGCCATCATGCCACGGCTCCCTCGGGAGCACGGCCGCGGCGGTGCCCTCATCGTGTGGCGGACATTTGGCGCCCACCTGGTGCCTCCACCAGCCCCGCCGCAATCGCCAGAGCCGAGAGGGCTTATATATATATATATATATATATATATATATATATTATATATATATATATATGCACATACATATGTACGTACATGTGCACACGGATGCCCGCGTATAATAAAACCACGCGCGCTTTGTGCGCGTTCAGGTTCTTGCACAGTCCAAACCAACATCACAAGATGTGATGAGGATGGGCACCATCTTGCAAGGACCACCATAAAGGAGCGTACTCCCTGAGGGTCGCTTCAGGAAGTCTGTGACTGCGGAATAAGCAGGCCCCAAGAGACCCTGCTGTACTGAACCAGTGCACCGAACAGCTGCCATGAGGAAACCTGTGGGAGGCTTCGGGGGGCTCGTTTCCTGTGGACCGTTTTCAGCGGTCTTTGAAATCTCCTGGTTGTCTCCAGAGCCCCTCGGACTATCTTGGAGGTGTCTTCGGATGTCCCGGGGTAACCCTGGGGCCAATATTGAACAATTCGGGCCATTCGAAATCTTGCAGAATCAATCGAAGCCGTCTTGGGCGCGGCCTCGGGGACCATTTAGGCCGTACTGTGCCTTGCTTGGGAGCGTGAAGCGTTAAGATGTTGCGCTACACACGGCGCCTGGCAGACGACGCGGCTCACTCTTCTTAAGGAGGCGACGTCCAGCACGACGTCGCTCCATTGGTATGCGTGCAGGGCAAATGCCCCAACGGTTTTTGCCAAGCCTCCTGTCTCCTGTGTTGGGTTCTCCTTCTGGACAGAGCACTGAGTTCGCGTTTCCCTCTCTCCTGCCTCCTATCTCCTGCCTCCTACCTCTTCCTCCCCTCTCCTGCCTCCTCCTCCCTCCTGCCTCCTCCTCCTCCTCTCTCCTGCCTCCTCCTCCTCCTCCTCCTCCTCCTCCTCCCCCTCCTATCTCCTCTCCTCTTCCTCCTCCTCCTCCTCTCTCCTGCCTCCTATCTCCTCCCTCCTGCACTCTGCCTCTCGTGGGCTCTTGGGAGGGGGGACCCGTGTGAAACTGTCGTCATTTTCGTGGGCTCGTCCGAGGTCGCGCGGAGCGGAATTGCACGGGGACTCAAAATTGAAACCTCGCAGCTCTCTGGGGGGCTGCGAAATGCGAACAAGTCGCCATTTTCGTTGGCTCCTGGGAAGCTGCGCGGGGTGGAATGGTACGGGGACTCCGTTGAGACCTCGCGGCTGTGGGGGTGCGAAATGTGAAACTGTACCCTCTTTTGTTGGCTTCTGGGAGGTCCAACGGAATAGAGTTGCCCGGGGACCCAATTGAAACCTCGCGGCTCCCTGGTGGGCTGCGAAGTGTGAAACTGTCGCCACTTCCGTGGGCTCCTACCAAAATCTTACCCTTGGCCGAGCTGCGCACTACAATGGCCTGCCCATAGCCCATTGCCTACTCTAGGTCGCCCCATGCCTCACACGCGTGTAGATTGCGCATGCCTGGCCTATGGCCTACCAATGCCCTGCTCGACGCCTACCCATCGCCAACCCAAGCGTCGACCAAGGCGGACCAATGGATTTCCCAAAGCTTGCGGCCACCCAAGGTTCCCGCCTGGCCTGCCCACGCCTTGCGCGTCGCCTACCCATGGCCCACCACCGGCCTACACACTGTTTGCCCATGGCCCGCCAATGGCCAACTCAAGACCTGCCCAGGGGCTGCGTTGGACCACTCAGCGGAGACCCATGGCTTGACTGCGGCCTACCCCGGGCCGACCATGGCAGACCAGCGCCTCACTCTTACCCTACCCATGGCCCACTCGAGGATAGCACGCGCCCTCGCCGAGCCCGACCCAAGGCTTACAACACACGGGGCCGACCCATGGACAACCCCTACCATGCCCGTGGCCTACACAGGGCCTGCACATATCCTGCAAGAATCGTGGCGCGCCGATGGCCTTCCCACTGCCCCCCTATGGCCCGCCGATGGTATTCTCACGGCGTGCTCGGCGCATGCCCGCGGCAGACTCAAGGTCGAGCCATGCCCCCCGGTCCACATGAAGAACAAACACTATAACAATAGCCTGTGAGAGCGGAATTCCTTGAATGGCCTCCTACTTAACGTGCTCACGGGAGAAGGATGTGCAGGAGCCATGGCTCCATTTGAGAACAATCCCATTGTATGTATGTAATGTGTCAATGTGCGCGGTCCCAACCTTTCAAAACAAGAAATGACGTAATGCAGCGCGTGGCCCATACCTGCTAGGCAACGACACGCCTAAAAAGACTCGGCAAACCATAACGGTTGGAGAAATGATAATGGGAGAAGAGAGTGAGAGAAAGAGAGGGAGTGAGCGAGAGAAAGAGAGAGGGAGAGAGAGAGAGAGAGAGAGAAAGGTATAGGAATGGCTGACAGGGAGAGAGGTCTCGGTCCAGATAGCGTCCTGGTTGTGATTGCGAGAAGCGTCCGGTCTGTCTCTCCTTCCCCATTCCCCCGCCACGGGCGTGCCCGGACGCTGCCAATAATGTTTCTGCACGTCAATGTTATGACTTCCCCAAACTAAACCGTGACCCCATCAGCATCCGCCAGGACCGCAGAAGGGCCCTGCCAAGGGCCTGCCAGAACCCTGCACCAAACCCCTACAAGGATCCCGCCGAGACTTATCCATCAGGGCCATACCAAGAGACTGCCCGCCCCAACAATGCGCTGGCAAGACCCCCTCCTCACGTGCCCACGCTCGAGCACCACTACTGGGAATGTGCTGCCAATGACGACCTGCGCTGGGGCGTCCGTGTGCCGACTGCTGGGCTTACACGCCGGCTGGGCTGGCCCACAACGGAGGTCACCAGGAAGGATGCAATTACGACATGGCTACCAATGGTGCACGCCATGGCCAGGATACGGCAACGGGTGCTACACGCTCGTTTTGCCACGAGTGCGACGGAACACGGCCCTGCAACCCGGGAGGGAAAATCCATGACCACAACGGGGATCACAACAATAAACGGGACCACTTACGTCGGGGACACACATTCTTGACGTGACTTTGGAATTGCATGTGTTGCAGTGCAATGCTACTGTGAAACGGTCGCCGAAATTCTCCCTCGAGGCCGTCAACAACGGCAACCGGCTCTACCCCCACCTCCTCCTCAAGGAGACGCTGCCAGGAGGGTCCAAAACCCTGCCTGGACCGTGCTGGGACAACAATAGACCCCACGAAGACCCGGACGTTTCCAGGAAGGTAGCAGGATGAGGCCAGGACCGCGCGCCCCGACATCACCAGGGATCTACCAGGATTCCATCAAGACCCTTCCCAGACCTCACCAGGGTTGCTCCGGGACGCAACGATGACCCTACATTGAGACGCCAGGACGCTGCCAAGAACCTGACTGGCCCGAGGCGGACAATTCCACGACGCTACCATAATCCTACCATGATCCTTTCTGTCTAGCTGCCAATAAGAAAAATAACGTAACGAACATGAGGAAACGCCAAAGATGAACATCAATGGAAACGGAACGAGCTGGAGGAATACCCAACCGCGGTATACCGAGCTCCTTTCGGTACCCGGATGCTCCTATCTGCCCCTCCACGCATCTCTTCCTCGCTTACTGTTTGAAAAAGAGCTTGATATTTCCAGCGGCTGTACATCTGGATTGCTAGTTGCCGCTGGCTGCGATATGCATCCCAACAACTTGCAAGCGAGAGTACACATGCGGCAGAAAATCTGGATACATACGAATGTCGATAACAATTCATAAGAACGCCAACGTGCGTCAACATTTGTTTCGGGTTCTTTCAAAACCACTCAACTGAAAGATCACGTGTTGTAATGATTCCACTCACGCTAATGTTGACGCCTCAACGCGCTCACGATCTCACCGGCCTAGTCGAGGCATGCCTTTGCAAATGCCCGACGCCTCCTCTGCGAGCGTGTGCGCGCACGTGCGTGCGTCCGCGCTCGCCGGCGCATGCCTGGCGGACGGTTGCGGAGGGGTAGCTGAGCTGAGGGGGCAAGCAGGGTGCGCGAAAACTGCCACGTAGCGGCAACAGAAATGCAGCGCGGCGCCACCCCGCGTCTCAACATGACGGAAACACAAACTTTTCGACGCCCCCTCGGGCACCGCCAAGGCGCCCCCTTTACGTGACGACCTACTTCCGTCGGCAACGATCCCTCCCCCTGCCCCCCGAGATGTGGGCAGATCGCTGGGTGGGGCCTGGAGGGTGAGGGGCGCTTTCAGAATCCAAGGCAAGCAGCAGGATGCAAAACGTGAGGATGGCAGCGCTGCCCGCGGTCCCGCCTCAGCGTTGCGGTGCTCGGCCTCGGCCGCGCAAAAGGGACTCTGGCCGTCTGCGGAGTTCTGTAGCAACTCGTGGGAGCCTCCCATACCATCTTGCTGGCTCCTGCGAATCGACGCTCATCGACGCTACTCGATGCACGGTCGCCGCTGAGCCGACCCTAATCGACGCTAATCGGCGCTGGGTCTGCGCTATCTCATCCTGTGCCAGACGCTGATCGATGCTCATGCACACTAAAGTCAGAATTGCGAAGACATACAGGGCTCCCATGTTTGCTACCGAGCCGGAGTGCTTCTCTCCCTCCGCCTCCCCGAGAGGAAGAGGGTCGCTAGCGGCGAACATATCCATGCCAACGCCTTCGCGGCTTGCGTTCAGGGAGGCGACCCCGTGGATACGCGGTCACATGGATAAGTGCCGCGACGGGCATCCGCGAAACAAAACGCACCACATCCATGGGGTCGCGGCTGTGGGGCGCCGACCGCGAGGCCTTGGATATGTGTCCCACCCACGAAAGGAGGAACGGACTCATAAGAAAGACGGACACCACCACTCTGGAATATCCCAACTGCTGGCCCACGCTAACCAGGCCGACAAATGAGGGGGGCAGGGGCAATGGATGCAAGGGTCGAAAACCGTCCTCTGGTCTTTCGATCCCCAGCCCCCTAGAGACGCATCGCCAGTCTGACATCCGGAGGGGGAGGAGGCAGAATGAGATTTTCGCCTCGATGGCACCGCCACAAAGACGTCATCGCCAACAGTGTGGGACCTGCTGGCCATGGGGGAGAAAGGATGAAACCCAAACAACAGGCCGCTCCAATGTGTTCGATGCGTGGGTCCCTGAGGTCTGGAGTACTTCCCCCGGGGCCGGTTTTTCGTCCTGAATCATTTTCCGACGGTCCCGGGGCCCGGCGAAGGCCCCAGGAGGCCGAAAACGGCCAAGAACCGCGCTCCAATTTTAATGGGAGCGTCGGATCTCTCTGAAGGAGGAGACGAGAGGAAAATGAGGCTGGGTAATGCGCCTTTGTTTGCCCTCATCCCCCGCTTGAGCCGCTGGCAGCTCCCCGCGACCCTGGCCGCAAGCCACCTGCAGAAGGGTTCCCCCTCCTTTTACTGCTCCCTCCTCCTCCTGGTCCCCCTCCCCCTCCTCCTCCTCCTCCTGGTCCTTTTCCTCCTCCTCCTCCTCCTCCTCCTCCTCCTTCAAGACCTTCAAGACAAACTCAGGTGATCATACGGCCGAGCCAAGGCACAGCCACTGCGCAATTCACCCGCATTAAGAGAGGTCTCAGCGTAACTCCAAGACGTCCCTCCTTGATATCCTGAACCCGACGGATACTGCTGGGCCTGAAACGCCCTGGATCTACCAGGTGTGGGAGGCTGACGGCAACTGTATAGAATAGTGACAAACGCGGGTTAGCCCACCCCTTGAACTAATCTGTCGAGTCGGACAACAGCGCTCGTGACGCCTCTTCTTCCTCTCTGCAGTCGAATGCCTGCGACGCAACGGAGGCCACAGGGCGACTGGGAGGCAGAGGAGCAGGGCACGGCGCCTCAGCTGGGACCTCGGCGGGGGCAGAGAGGGGGGGGAGAGACGAATGACGAGGAAGCGAGAAGGGGAAGGAGGGGAAAAACGGGGTCCCAAGTCTGAGGTTCACCCCTGGGACGAATCCCCCTGTGCAGCTTTGACCTCTCGCTTGATCTGCGCGGTATCGCACAGGGACGGAGCTAACCTGTGGCTTTGCGGGGCGCAAAGCATCCGCATTCGCTGCAGTAAATCAGTGGGAGGTCACTGTGCACGATTCTTGCCCCAAAGTATTGGTGTCCCTGGCCCCCTCCTGCAACGATGAAACTTTGTAAAGTTGGGGCCAGGACGTCACAGGGGAACGTGCTCGTTGGCGAGCGCACTCGGAGGCAACGTGAGCAACTGTAGGTGGCTCCACTCCACGCAGGCAGATGGGGGGAAACTTGAGCATTGACAGCTGTTCCTCGTCTCGCACGGGGCAACTTGCCATGCAACTCCTTACGGGGAAGCCATGCACTTAGGACATTCGCTGCCCCCGCTGCTAAATTACAAGATTCAACCAGAGTTCGCTGGTAGACCTCGACCGTTGCTGGCGGGTGTCCGCGGGCCCTTGGGGCAAGTCCAGGAAAGTGGCCCGCGAGGCGATTCCCCTGGATCGAGAGACGGTGGAGGTCATCTTCAGCACGACTGAAATCCCTGTGTGCCTTGGTTTTGGTAAATGAAAGCCATTCACTTTGGCCTCGCTTGTGCGCCGCAGGGCGCCAATGCTGAGATCTTGGGTTCTCACCAGCAGGTGTTTTCTCGGGCCAGAAAGAGATCAGGCCTAGAACACTGCAGTCGTGATGTGTCATTGTCTCAGAAGGCCGGTCCGGTCGTATACTGGCTAGAGACACTGCTGCATGCCCTGCGTCGCTACTAGTCTAAGGGAAGTCTTTGGGGGGTGAGGAAAACGTGACACAAATGAGATTGCCTGCGTCATCCATCTGTGCTGCCGCCACCCCTGCCCCTGAAAGCTCTGGAATTGTCTGATGTTCACATCCTCCATCCGTAAGAATGAATGCCTCCGTGGGGAAGTTAAACGGATCAATCAGTCCAATATCACAACCGCAAATCTAATGTCCCAATCTGGGCTGACTGGGTCCAGGGCGGGAGAGGGGCTGCCGCGAGTAGCTGTAGGGTGGGTGGTCTGGCCCAGCTTCCAAAGCATCGTGAACCAAGGATGGGTAGGCGTGTTCTCTCTTTGTTCTTGTCCACAAGGGCATTCCCATGCGCCATGGAGATCGGGGTCCGCTCTGCCACGGGAGACGCAGTCAGCAGGAACATCATGGCCCCATCTGCTGAGGTTGGTCCCAGTAGGGGCCGAACCAGAAACAATCTGTTCAAATAGATATACATTGCCCCATCAACTCTCTTGAAGCGAAAGCCTTCTTCGCAGCGGAAATCCAAATGCCCTCTGCCCGGATCTGGTCGGCAACTAGATGGGTCATGGCTGCGAGCCTCTTGTTGAACACTTATGCTAGCCTGGTGGCCGAAAACACTTGCGCCACATGCTGCGCCGCCATCGACGGCGACGCTTCAATTAGAACGAACTTCTGTCGAGCATGTGTGACGGGACCTCCCGGCGACTCGATTATTCGCCCTGCATTTTCCGACCGCAGAATAAGATCTGAAAGTGGGCCTCTGTTCCGAAGAGCCCATGGTTGCCCGACCGTCGACTCGACCCATGTTTGGGCTTCTCTGAGCGCTGCTGAGAACCGACTCAAGGGGGTGGCATCTGCATGTGCTGGGCCCACTCAGGGCGGTGGTTGGCGCTGCGCCACCATTATTGAGCATGTGGCTGCAGCAAAATAAGTCAGGTCCTCCAAACCTCTGGGGGCGAGGGCCCAATGAATCTCCACTGGGCAACCTGATTGTTTAACCCCCGGGGCCACGGCAGCAGCCTTGCGTCGTGCTCCAACTTCGCGAGGAGACGAACCATGGGCCTGAGCTCCAGGCGTTGCCGCAGATTGGATGCTCGCCTCGAAAGTCTACCCTTCAAACGATTGGTCCCGCGGAAAAGCAAAAGCTTTCGAAACCTTCTCCTGGACTTGCTCTATCTGCTCCCACGCCTCCCCAGTGCTCGAACCTCTGCTTGCGTGGCCTCCGAGAAGATCCACTCCTAGATTGCTGGTGCCTGTGCAACCGCCCCCGCCAGATGTCCCAGTGCTTGCTTGGCATCTCGAATGAGCTGGTTCATGTTGCCAGCGACATTCATCCCAATGCAGTCTAGAAATTATTTGAATACCTTGGCGAAGGATTGCGCGAGTGTCATCGTCGTCTCGATGCAGGCCATCGCTGGCTCCGACCAAGTGTGCAGTTGCAAGTCATCGATGTGTACTCCCAGCGCAGATGCATTCGGCTCGTGAATCCAACTCTGGGTCTGGGCTGTCGCACCAAGTGGGCCTTCGCCTCGAACGTCGCGGACGGTCGATCCCGCAATGGTGCCCCAATGCGGGTGGATGGTCTTGCTGTGGGCGCCATAAAGTAGCACAATTCTGCTCCATCTGGATGGGCCCATGGTCTACATGGAATCAGATTATGAAAACCCAACCAAACCGGCTTGTTCGATGAGTTTCGCATGGCTGATTTTTTCGCAGAGCTGAACCAAATCCCACAGCGCGCATAGATGCGACATCCCCTGGGAAGTATAATTCACTTCGAACTGCATTGCGCCGCGTTCGGTCTGAGGACCTTTTGGACTTATATGCTGGGCCCGACCCGCACTCTCTTTCCCAGGATCTACAGGGGGCCCGGTGTAGTTTCGCATGGAGTTCTGGCACTGCGGAGTACTGGCCCAATTGGCACCGACCTCCTTAGGATTGATGTCGGTGCCGATGCCAAGACATCCATGCTGTGGAAGATGAGCGACGGCGCACGAATAGCATCCCGCGAGATCAACGCATAGTGTCTCGGGTGCATGCCATCAGAGGCACATGTCTCGAGCTTGAACCCTGGCGGGGCGCTTGATCACGTATAGCTCAGTGGGCACAGGCACTTGAATGGGCGCTAACTCCTGTACGAGATGGTGACCCTGCTGAGCGCTGCGTGGCTTCCCATGCAGTGAACCAATACTGGGGTTCCTTGGGCGAGCGATTCGGCAGGGATGGCGAGCGACCATCTGAGAACATGGCCGCATCTTCTGGTCTGTAGTCTGCGCCGCGAAGATAGGGGGCGGCCTGCTTCGCGCTGCCTCCTCCCGCCTCCATGCACCGCTGCTCTCCGTCCATCCCTGCTTCCATTATCTGCTGCAGTTGGCCGAGCTTGGGACGGCGCGAAACAAATCGGCGCGCTGGTGCCGCCAAGGCCATCTGAGCTGGTGTCAGTTCTTCAAGAATTGCTGCCGCCGCGCCTAACTGGAAGCAGTGCCGGGAGGATGCCCCTTCCATCCAGCGCTGTGCGCGGCACCCCGCATATGCGGGTAGGAGTGAGGGGGGCGGCGGGGGCGCGGGGAGTTTGCGGGGCTCTGGAGAAGCCCGCCGCAAGCGCCAATGGTTCTCAACATGTTTAATAAACCAGCCGCAGGCGCAGATTTTTCCGCTAGACCAACGCGGGCAGGTCGCTCGCGGGACGCGGGCGTAAGGGGGCAGGCAATCCATGCCGTGATGATCGCCCCGACAAGCGCAGCCGATTAGTGAACGCACGAAAGAATGATTCGAACAAGGCAGGGCTGCTTAGTTTGAGTCCAAGGACGTGTAATAATGATCATGTGTCGGGTCAGGGTGGCGTTTCCTCCCTTGGGGGTGGGTCGCGAGTGGTCGCGGGGAGGGTCGCGGGTGGGTCGCGGGTTGGGTCGCGGGCGGGTCGCGGGGCGGGTCGCGGGGTAGGTCGCGGGGTGGGTCGCGGGGCGGGTCGCGGGGCGGGTCGCGGGTGGGGCGGCGACAACAAACGGCGACAACAACGCAACAAACAAACTTCCCACCGCGAATTCCTTATTCAGCCACGCGCCCGGGGACACTGAATGACCGCTCAGCCCCCTCGCTCTGATGAGCGGTCCACCTCTTGTCGTAATAAATTGGCGGCGGTCGTTTCCTGTTTTTGGTCAGGGGAGATGCTCTATCTTGAAGACGGTCACAGGCCCATTGGGTGGCCCGCCCAGGGGGCACCTTCTGATATGACTTGGAGGCCAAAGCCTTCTTCAAGGGAACATCTTAGAAATCTGGCAGTCCGCCTCTACGACCTTCGCGGGGAGCTCGGGTTGCATCTAGATGTTATCGCCACGCTCGTTCAGCCCAAAGATGATGGACTTCATCGAGTAGGCGCTCCAGGGCCCCTGTTCTACTTGGGTGGCCATGCAATGGGGGTCCCGATGCGTTGGCCTGGCGCTCTAATTTGTTATCGAGGTTCTCGTAAACAGGCGGGGCCCTTGGCGGGCCCGTCGCAGGGGCTGGGTCCACCCTCGCGCGCGGGGTCACCGCGCGCGCGTGCGCAGTATTACTCGGGTTCAAAAATTTGAGAGTGATTGGGGTATGTGGCCTCTAGTGCCAAGGCGTGCCCATGCCCCAGACGGGGTCTGCAGCATCCAACGCCGACGAAAAGTCGACGGTGGAAGCTGTTCCCCCTCGCAAGTGCGCGGGCGTCTCGGATGCGCGCAGTGGCGCTGCAAACTTGGCCAGCGGCTGGAAATTCTCGATCTTCCCTGCTGGCGTGTTTAACCCCCCCCCCCCTGCGATGAATGGTACTCCTGCTTTCGTTTTTTCCTCCAAGCCTGGTCGAGGGTGGACCTGTTGGCCTCGCGTAGCTGCACTTGGTCTTGCAAGTGCAAGGTGAAAATCTGGATGGCCCCGAGAGCCGTCGATCGCAATCAACAGCTAGCCAACCTCTCAAGGACCACCAAGCCATCGTCGTCGGACCCTGGGCCCAAATTCTTTTTGATCAAAATCGGCGGGGGCCGCGTAGGAGTGCCATCCCATCTTTAATACTGATGCGCGAACATCAGCGAGCTTTCCGCCGAAGTGATTGTGCCCCTGGAAAGAGTACCACCTCGTGATTCGAAGCCCTCAGGCATTCTTTTCATGTGGCCCAACAGGACCCACTGCAAGTCTCATTGTGGAACCTCACTAGGTTACCCTCGCGACGGGGGGCCGGCCGGTCCTGCAGCCCCATCCTGAGCGTGGGTCCGCAGGGCGAACAGGCGACCTGGAACGGGGCTCTCTCGTTGCTGGGCGAACTGCTTTTGCTGCTTTTTTTATGGGCGTACTTCTCCTGGATGCGTGAGACTGCGGAAGCAGGAAGTTCCTTCAAGAGAGCCGAGTGGAAATCCTCATCGTTCGAGAAAAAGGTCTCAAGGGTCTTGTTTGCTTCACCAACTTCCGCTGTATCCGTCTCCCGGCCTTCCTGATCCATTTCAAATTCCTGTTGTTGGGCATCGGCGTCGGGGAAGACCATCCGTGATGGCCACCTTTCCCTGCCCTTGTGTATACCTTTTGCATGTGTCCCTCCTCACGCGGCTGGAGGAGGGAGGTGGGCACGTTGGTGGCCGCGGCATAGGCATCACCCGACTGGGGGTTGATGGAGCCGACCGCCTTCTGGTAGAGGTTGCTGAAGTGGGTCTTCGTGGTCACGTCGAGCTTGCCAATGACTGGCGTCCATGCCTCAAGATTGACCCCCAGCTGGTCTGGCGAAGGAATGCCCTGCGACTCCAGAATGCGGGGCGCCATCCTCTTCACGGCGTCAATCTCAGCAAGTATATTATCATGGCAATCCTCCCTTTGCTTGGATTCTTTATTCGCGGCGACGGATGTCTTGTTCACTGCGTTTAGCATCACGGATGGACCTTGATGCATTGAGGATATGGCCGGCCTCCTTCGAGCCTTTAGGACGTATAAGTTTGAACTTCGTCTCTGCACCCTGTACCAACGTATATAATACTTGTAAACCGTTCTGGGCTGGTCGGCGATGGGTCTCTGAATGTGTCCACTGGTAGCCTTTGCCCTTGCCCTTGCCCTTTGTGGGTCTGGAAGGTCCTCCACTATGGTGGCGGCCCCCTTCTCACCTGCCTGCCAAACTCCACGGGGGGGTTGTGCACGGTGGTGCTGGAGGCGAGGTAAGTCAGCGCCACAATGGTAGCACCATGTCAAAAACTCGGGGTTGCGCTTACAGCCACAAACCGTGCAAGCCAGGCCCGCTGGAGCCCAGGTAGCAACATGCGGGGCCATACGCAAGTGTGTGAAAACAAAAAGCGTGCCGCTGCGCACTCTGCAAATCGCTCTGGCCGCGGACAATTGACCAGACCTAATCGCTGATTCCCGGAACTTCGCTAGGTCACAACATTTAAGTCTTGAGCCAGAATGGCTACGGTCCTCCTCCTCCTTCTCCTCCTCCGCCTCCTCCCGTGCTCCGTCTCTTACTCTATATGCTCCTCCACTCCGCCATCTCTTGCACCTCTCCCCCTCTCTCGCACAACTCCTCCTCCACCTCTCGCCTCCCCGGATATTTCTTCACCTCATCCTCGTTCTCCTTCCTCTCTGTCAACCGCTCCACCCAGTCTCGTCCCCGCAGGCCTGATAATATCGTACATGCTCCAACCACTCTTCCTCCTCCTTCCATCCCCCCATCCTTTCAGCCCCCTTCCCCGACTCCTTATCATGCATGTTGACCACGCGTTTAGTTAGGCTGGCCACCACCGCCCTTCTGGCAAACACGCCTGACCCCACAAGGCAAACCATGTTGTGGAACGACGATGTCGGTCTGGTGATTAGAATCGGTAAAGTCTGAATCAACAAGCACGGGCAAACGTGCTAAGGATCATTCATCCTATGGTGGCATTGCCGAATCCTCTGTGAAAGACACAATCCACGCACAATACAAGCCGCCTGGGGCAGAACATGCCTTCGAGGCCCTGCCTCCCTATCCCGGCCCATCCCCTCTGCCAGCCAGTATGCCTCCTGCGGGAAAAGGAGGGAGCTGCCACATGATACCTTTACTGGGGCATCTTTCGACGCTTGCACTTTCCTCTCCCCTAGGTGCAATGCGACTTACCACGCGGAACGCTAAAACGCAACGGAGCCACTCTCGGCCCCGAAGGCGCCTGTATGCACGAGGAGCGCTTGGAGGGACAACCGCGGACGGACGCAATGGACAACGAACCCCTTCCAAACCCGAACTGTTCTTTGTTTCAACGTGTTGGCTGGAAGAACATTTAAACATAAACTTTCGAACGCCCGTGTAGATTTCTTGGATCGGCGCTGACCCATGCTGATTCGTCTTCTTCTTCTTCTTCGTAATATTCGTCTTGTTCTTCTGAGTCGGATTATTACTCTTCTTGTTGGTGTGTTTCTTCTTCTGGTTATCCTGCCTTTGGTTATCCATGTTACCATTCGTACCATCTCTCTTGCTTCTGCTGTTTTCCTCGCCCTCTTGCTCGATAGGCTGTGCTGGAGGCGGGCTCGCAGGAGGCGGCGGCGTCTCCTGGCGGGCGGCGGCGACCGTCCGCGAGGGGTCCCAGGCCGCCAGGTCGGGTGCGGAGGCCGTCTGCCTGGGGGCTTCTCCGCTCGCCGCCGCGCTCCGCGAGCGCGCCGCGCGCGGCGGGGTCACGGCCCGGGCGCCCCTCCCCCTCCTGCTGCCGCCGCGCCGGGTGCCCGGGCACCCTGGGCCACGGACACCCCGGGCAGCACGCGACCCCTCCTCGTCCTCCGTCTCCTCGTACTCTGGCGGCACGCACCAGGGCGTGGCGCGAGTGGGGAAGGGTGGCAGACTGCAGTCCACCGCGGGGGGAAGGAAGACGAGGAGGGTTATGTTCCTCGTCCTCCGCCATCTCCATGTCTTCTTCCTCTTCCTCGTCTCTTCTGTTCTTCTCTTCTCTGCTCTTCTCTTCTCTGATCTCCTCTTCTCCTCGTTGCTCCAGATCAGGAAACATTCGAACATCAACATGGACATAAGCTTTCAGAACATCGCACGGATTGGCGCTGGAACCTCCCTCCCTGGCGCGCGGAGCGCGTCGGAAGCGACGCGGGGTGTGCTGCCAAACTCGGAATACTTATGTGTCTGCACTGTGTTCTTCTTCGAAGAATGGACGGGGAGTGGGGGCGTTTTGCTGCCCAGGTGGTCCTAGAGCATCTGGTCCGGATGAGGTGCGAGCCACGGACGACGCCGATGCCAAACCCAGTCGTGTCCAGGTGGGAGTGCGCCAAGTCCTGGAGGTCGGACGAAGGTTGGGCTCAAGAATTGTGGACTCCGCACGCGGATTCAAACCAAGTTCCCTGCAGGACATGCCCCACAGGGAGATGATAACCTCCAAGACGCCCCCGCCAATCTTAAACAAATCCTTTGGGTTCGTGCTCAGAGGTTTCCTCCTGCATGCATCCCTCTTAGACTTCGAACGGACGTGTGATGAGCCCTCGCTTCGTGCGAAAATTGACGCTGCCACTGAAAGCTTGCGTGCGGGGCCGGATTCCAAAAGAGGAGCGAGAAAATACCGGAGTGGAAGGGGCCAAGCGGGGTCCTACGGCTTGGTCGCGTCGCGATGTCGCGGGCGTTGGTTTCTGACGCCGCGCGGATCGTTCAGCCATGAAGGATCGCGGCTCTCCGATAGCGCAGCTCGCTCGACATCGGCCGATTCTGGGCCACTGGCGGCGTTACACCTGGAACGCCCGCGCTGGGGTCGCCGCCGCGTCAACGCGGCGCAAACCTACCGTACAGCGTCCATGGGTGCGTGGCTGAAGCGGGGTTCTGCGGTGCGGATTCCTGTGACATTCACATCTCTGCAATAGTTATAACTGATAACCCTCCGTCTGGCGCGCATAGCAATTTTTCAACTGAAGTGCCCCGCCCCGGGCTCAATAATTAGCGTTTCGCAAAGGAGGGTTCGAACAGAGGCAGACAATGACCGCAGAAGAGTCCCACAAGGGGGATGGGGTGCCTGAGGATGCTTGTTCCAGCAACTGTTTCGCCTCAGGCTTCCTCACAATGAACTCAAAAAATCGTGCTCCAGCCTCATCTCCGCTACATGTTTGGTCTGGACGGCCACGATCCCTGGTGATACCCCAGTATGCACATGGCCGTGCTCTCATCCCCCTGTCCTGGCTGGATCTTGGACCTCAATCGTAGGCGTCCCCAAGAATACCTAGGACTGCACAGGAACTCATCTGAGGTCCCAGAAATGCATGTTTTCAGTCGCCGACCTGCTCCTCGACCCGCCTCTTCACCTTTGCTGCTATCAGGGTGGTTTGCAGATGTATGTGTTGTTATGTTTGACAAGGTTGGCCAGGATGCGGGGAAGCGGGGCGCGGTGGAGCATCGTTTGTCCGATCCCTGTCCCCGGTGGCGTGGCCTGGGCCCCACCGGCCAATGCGCCCCCCTGGATGGGGATATAAGCTGTTCCCTTTAGATTTCGAGGGACCTTTCCCCTGGGGCGGTGGGATTTTATCGGGGGGTCCGAAGTTGATACAAGTAAGGAAACAATGGGCACACAGTCCAACAACAGTTCCTGTTCTGTTAAAACAGGATTCGCTGTCGGCGTCGCCGCGGGCGTTGTCCATTTGAGACACAAGCTCGCATGGCCAACAGCGGCCGCTGTCGGGTTCGGGCAGCATGTGCTGTTGGGCATCGTATCTTTTTTCCGTAGCCATTTTGGGCGTCCAGATTTCCGGGCTGAGATATATTGGCCCAGTGGGGACGGGGATCGGTTAAACGACACCAGGAGAGCCCAAACTCGAATCGACAAGTCGGATCGGCCATCAAAATGAATCGGATCAGCGGAAACCAGCAGCCAAGTTGGGAGAAGGCGAATCGGTGGAAATCGGCAGGGTAGTAAGGCCTCCATTGAGAAACGAAAATCCAAATCGGAATCAGAAGTCGAATCGGCATCGGAATCGATCGAAACCGAATCCAACCGAGTCGGAGGAGTCGACATGAATTCTGCTGAGGCATTGATGCCACGGCCGAGTGGGGCTGGGGAGCAGCCGAGCAGCGAGGAGGCGCGTCCGAGCGATCAATCAATATGTAGATCTGTCTATTTACATACACACACACCTACCAATCTATCCATTTGTTATGAGACGATCTGACTACCTGCCTGCCTGCCTGCCTGCCTGCCTGCCTGCCTGCCTGCCTGCCTGCCTGCCTGCCTGCTACCTACCTACCTACCTACCTACCTACCTACCTACCTACCTGTCGACCTACCTGTCTACCTTTCTACCTATCTCCCAACTTCTCTATAGCGATACTGAGCGGTGGCCGAGCAACGAAGATGCGCGTCGGGTCCTTGTAACACGGCATGCCCCCCCCCGACGCCCGTGGGCCCCGCCGCCCCGGCGCCGCAGGTCGGCTCCCGCTGCCCAGGGGGCCCTCCCCCGAGCCTGCTCGGCGTCTGAGCCCGTCCCCAGACATCCGACGCATGGAAAACACAACATAAACCACTGGGGCGTTTCGGTGTTTTCAGCCTCTAGAGGCTATCGCCAGGCCCCAGGGCCGTCAAGAAGACGACACAGGATGAGAAACCAAGCCTGGGGAAAAGGTCGAGACTTCTGGGCCCCCTCTTCATCGAAAATAACCAAGTCTGGGATCTCTGGGCTTCCTTGAACCCGCTCGGCGACTGAGCCTGTCTGGCTGTCAAGCGGGCGGCCGACTGGGCTCTGTCCCAGGATGCCTGCGGGGATCGACCCCGCTCGGCGGCCAAGCGGGGTCGATCCCGGGTCCGCGTGGCAGCCGAAAGGGCTCGGACACCAGAGGGGGCGCGGGAGGGAACCTCGACGGGTGGCCGACCTCAGGGGCTGCCAGCTGGGCGCCAGGCCTGTCGCCCCCCCCCCGCGGTCGCGGGGGATGGGTGCCGCGGCGCTGCGGGACAAACGTCCCCGCCACCGCGGAAGCGAGCTGCGGCGGCGGCGCGGACCTTCGGCGTAACCCATCGGAGCGAGACGGGTGAAGGGCAGACAGGAAAACACAAATGATGATGATGATGATGATGATGATGATGATGATGTTGATGATGATGATGATGCTGCTGATGCTGATGATGATGATGATGATGCTGATGCTGATGCTGATGCTGATGTTGATGATGATGCTGCTGCTGCTGCTGCTGCTGATGATGATGATGAGGATGAGGATGATGGTTAGGATGATGATGATGATGATGCTGATGCTGATGATGATGATGATGATGATGATGATGATGATGACGATGACGATGACGATGACGCTGATGCTGATGCTGATGCTGATGCTGATGCTGATGCTGATGCTGATGCTGATGATGATGATGATGATGATGATGATGATGATGATGATGATGATGATGATGATGATGATGATGATCGGTGCAAACCTACGGGTCGGGGAGCGGGGTTCGTCTAAACCGTATTTAATCCTCGTGCACAGGCGCTCAAGCTCCTCGACACCGCTAGCCAAACGGGCGTTTCGCTACCGACCTTGCTGTAAGAGGCCTGCAGGGCCGATGGGAAGCATCCGCTGCGGAAACCCCGACGACCACAGGCCGTTGGCCCGCGGCGGCGTGTCCGGGCCTCACGAAGCCCACGCCAACGCCGCCCAGAATTCCGGGCCGCATCCAACCGACGAGGACGGCTCCTGCAGGTCGCCCACACGGAAAGAGCCGCAGGCCGAGGCCCCAAGGGCCACGCGGACGCGGGACGCCAGGGCCAGAGCGAAGCCCAGGCCGACACCGCGCAGAAGTTCGAGCCGAGCGTAACAAGGCGACGGCCCAGAGCAAGCGAGACGGGGAGGGCGGCACACGCGCACGCGCGGCGCGCAGTGTACACTTTGGCCCGCGCGCTGGGTGGCGGAAAGTTTCATTGTGCGGAAACGCCGCCTCGAAGGCGGCGAAGCTTTGCACGGGCTGCTCCGCCGCGGCGAGCGGCTCCGCGGGCGACCGCCCTCGTCTGTCTTCGGCGGCACGGGCCCGCCGCGGTGCGTCCCCTGCCGCGCGCGGCGCAGCGCGGCCGCTTGGCGGGCGTCGGCCCCCTCCGCGCAGCGAGCGCGGAGGTCCACGTCGCGCGGCCCGTCGGCGCAGCGCCCGCGCGCCGCGCAGTGCACGAGCCGCCGCGCACCCGCGCCGAGCATCCACAAGCGGTGGGTCGGGCCGAACGGCCTGCCCCATCATCGCTGCCGCTCGGCGGTGGGGCGATGCGCCAAAGGGGCCGGCGGGGTTGCCGCCAAATCTGCAGGGGCCGCCGCTGGAGCCGCCAAGGCGGCCTCGGCGCCATCCCGGTCACGTCCATCATGTGTGGGAAAATCCTTGGACACCGCTGCCAGTGCTCTGGCGCCCAGTGCGCAGGAGGAGGCTGCCGCGGCGGCGGTGCCGCGGCTGCCGCCGTGCCGCCCGCGGGGCCAGGCGGGCCCTCAGCCCCCGTCGTCCTGCTGCCTTCCTCCGCGCCGCCATCGGCGCCCTGGGCCTCGCCATGGGGCTGGGCGGCGCGCGTGGCGGCGGCCAGCGTCGCGGCCGCGGCGCTGGTGGCCTCGGCGCCGCGGCGGCCCGCGCTCGATTCGGCCCGCAAGCGGCCGCGCCGCTCGGCTGCGCCCTGACCCCTCAACGCCGCGTTTCCGAGCGCCGCCGCCCCCCCGCTGGGCCGCTTCCGCAGCGGGCGGGCGCGGCGCCCCAAGGCCGCTGTTGTGAACAGGGGGTGCGCTGCCGCCGCTCGGCGCCGCGACCGAGTGACAGCCAGGGGCGGGCGCGCCGCTCGAGCGGTCCGCGCGGGAGTCGCAGAGCCAGCGCGTTGCGCGCGCCTCCGCGACCGCCGCGTCGTGGGCCCCGCAGGGCCAGCTTCCGCAGTTGGGGCCGCGGCCGCGGCAGCGCGCGACCCCCCGCCGCCCGCAGCCGCGCCCGCAGCAGGTGGCGTGGTGGGCTCCGCCGTAGAGGCGTCCGCGCCGTCGGCTGCCGTGAAGGCGGCGTTCACGAGTTGCAGCGCCCCGCCAGGCCTGCGCGCCGTCGCCGCCGCGATCTCGTCGACCAGCGATGCGCGCGACGCTGCCTCCGCCGTGTTCGCGGGGTGGAGCGCAGCGTCCCGCTTGGCGAGGCCAGCGGCTGCCCTGTTGACCTCGTAGTTTTGTGGCTGGCGCTGCCGTCCCGCGCGGAGCGGAGGGCGGCGCGCCCCTTGACCTTGGCGACGCGAGCGCACTGGGGGCCACCGATGTCGCCCACGGCCTGCCAGAACTCGCGCCATGCCTCCATGCGCGGGCGGTGCAGCGCCATGCCCGGCCCGCGGCGCAGGAGCTGCTCGCCCTGATATCGAGGGCGCCGTCGGCCCCCGCGCGCGGGCAGCGGGGCCAATATCCCACCTGCGCGGGCGTTCTGCGGCAGGTGGGCGCGGGCGCAGCCCCTGCAGGCGCCGTGCGCGGCGCCGCGGTCCCGCGGCGCTGCCGGCCCCCAACTGGCGCGCACCTCGGGCGACTCCGCCTTGCCGCGCAGGTCCGAGCCGTCGGCGCATAGGGCGCCGGCGCCCGCCAGCGCGGTGTAGCAGAAGCCCCTGCTCCACCGCGCCTCCTCCGTCTCCAGTGGCGGCGGGAGGTCGTCCGTCGGGTCGGGGATTAGCGCCCTCGAATAGGTCCTCGCTGTTGGACTCCACTGCCAGTCGGCGAAGGCTTGCATCGCCGCGTCGCCAGCGATGGCATCGCGCCGCTCCAGCGCCGGAGCAAGGCGCCGCCAAGCGAGGTGGCGCACTGCACCGCGACCGCCGCGTCCCGCGCGGCGGGCGCTCGATCGGCACAGCGGCCGACCGAGCGCCGCTCGGCGGGCAACAGGCCAGAGCTCGGCGAGCGCCGCGTCGCGGGTGCTGAACCTTCGTCGTGCCCATTGCTCGGGGGTCGCCATGTAGTTGCCAGCCGCGGCCGGCGACCGCGGGTCGCCGCGCCGCAGGTCGCGTCGTGGCCGAGCTCCGCGTCGCGGGCGGCGGCCTCGCGCCAACGCCACCGCTGGTGCGAGTCGCGGATGTGCCTGCGGATTGTGTGTGGCCCCCGATCTCTCCGAGCTTCAGCGCCGTGCCGTTGTCCGTCGCCCGGAACTGCAGCGCGGTCGATGTCCAGCCAAGCCGCTCGATGGCGAGCAGCGCCGCCGCCGCGGTGCCGCGCCCCGCCACCGCGGCGGGCCGGCTCTCATGGCGAACCTGCACGGCGTGCCGCCACGCCCACGCTACGTCGTGCGTGGTGTCGGGGTGGGCCCGCCCGAACCCGCGGCCATGCGCCAGGAGCGCCAGCTCGGCTTGCGAGCACAAGGGGTCGCGACGCGGCGCGGCGGACAGCGCGACGTCCACCTGCAGCGAGCGGCCGCGCGCGCTGCCGAAGGTGCGAGTGCCGACTGCCAATCGCCACCGCTCGCTGCAGCCGCGGGCCGTCGTCCGCAGGAGGCCGCCCGCGAGCAGGCGCGTGGCCGCGCTGATGGACCGGCGCTGCGCGCCCGCCACCCGCGCGAGCTGGTCGCGAGCCTTGGCGCGCCGATTCCTCGGCGCCCCAGTCGCGGAGGAGCCGTCCATGCAGAAGTCCGCGCCGAGGTTATTTCCGGCCTTGGTCGGCTTGGCACCGAGGCCGTTGCTGCCTGGACCTCGTCGCGCGTCTCGGCGTCGGTCGCGCCTCCGTCTTGGTCGCCGAGATCCTGCAGCCTAACGCGCAGAAGCCAGCTGCCACCGCGAACCCTGCTGTCGCCGGGCGCCCCGCGATCGCCCGAGCGGCGCGCCCGCGAAGCAAAACGCAGTCGCGCCGTCAAACGCGACGTATATGTCGGACTTCAACGGGCTGCCACTGGAGGCGCCGTGCCCCTCGGCGCGCGCCCTCGCCGTCGGGGGCGTCGCCGCTTGCAGGATCGTCGCAGCGTGCGGGCAGCCCGCCAGCAGTGCCACGTCCCACGCGCGCGCGCCTCAACCGCGATGGCGCCCGCGCGGATGCGGCGGCGCCCGCGCAAGGTCGACGTGGCGCAGCGGGCCGGCCGGCCGCGCAGGCCTGCTCGGCGGGCCAGGCACTCGGCGCGGGTGAGCCGCGCCGTCTCGCAAGCCTTCTCGGGGTAGATCAGCAGCGCGGCGGAGCTGCTGCGAGCCCGCAGCCTCCACCGCCAGCGCCTGGAGCCATGCGGGCTCCTGGGCCGAGCGCCCGGGGATGCTAATGTTGGTGATGGTGAAGATGATGGTGATGATGATGGCGAACGTACTCTGAAAGGGAAGAGGCGAGGGGAAGCGGACAATAAGCGAGAAGAGGGCAATATGTTCGCTCCTGCTCCCAGCCAGCAGCGCTACAACTCTTCTGCTTGTGCTGTGACTTCGTGGTTGCGCTACTCGCTGCGGCCAGTGCCGGGGGGCGTGCGCTCGTAGGCTTCATGTATTTGTTGTCGCGCAGACAATTTTGAGAAAAAAAAAAACAAGAAAAGGCGGGATCGGGGGCAACGACCAAAGACAGAATGCACGAGGCAAACTACACCGACGGGGGCGGTCGCGGGAATGGTCTCAGAAAGGGGCCTCATCTCCAGCGCGCGCGTCGAAGCAGTTCGGGTAGGAGGTCAGGGCGAGCGTCGCCAGGCAGATGCGCAGGGCGCGCCTCGACACCACTGCCCTCAGCATCATGCAAGACGGGGTCTTCACGACAGGGTCGTTCGCCGCTGGCGGCAGCATCGTGCGAGTCTCGTTCACCGGAGGGAGGTTGTTCGCCACCAGTGGCACCGACGTGCAGGGCGCGATCGTCGAGGCCGGGTCGTTCGCCACCAACGACAGCGGTGCGCGGGCGTCGTTCTGCCTGCGGGGGGCGTTCGCCACCGTCGGCAGCGCCCTGCAAGGCGTGGTCTTCGGGGCGAAGACGTCCGCCACAATCGGCCGCGCGAAGCGCGAAGCGGACCGCGTTCGGGGTGATGGGGTCGTGCGCCACCGGCAGCGGCATCGTGCAGGTTGTTTAGGAAGCCTCCGCCACCAACGTCAGCGCCATGCGGAATTCGTTCAGCGCGAGGGGGGTGGGCACCTCCAGCGGCAGCAGCATGCGGGACGTGATCCTCTGGTCGGAGTCGTTCGCCACCAGCGGCAGCGTCGTGCAAGACGCGGTCTTCGGGGCGGGGTCGTTCGCCACCAGCGGCAGCGTCTGCCCGCGCGTCGAAGCAGCGGTAGAACGGCCTGTTGTCCATCAAGACGGTGCGCCGCATGGCTCGCCAGCGCTCGCAGAACGTCTTGGTCGGGATCGATCGCGCCTCCTTGGCACCGATGCGGCGCATGGCGACGCAACGGCTCAACGACCGGACCGCTAGGGATGGATGGCTGCCCAACCCCGCGGTGACCGCCAACAGTTCGGACAGGTAGAGCGTGCGGAACGCCATCAGCATCGACAGCAGCGGGAGGAATACGATCGCCACCAGCGGCAGCGCAATGCAGGCGAACGCTGGCAGGGACATCGCCATCGACACGAGATTCGGATCTACGAGCAGGAAGAGCGTGCAGAACAACGTCAGCGACGACACCAGCGCGGCTAGCATCAGCGTCGGCCAGGAGAACGGCTTGGGGGGCATGCAATGGATCGGCGACGACTCCAGCGACACGAACGTCGGAACGTCGAACATGTAAAGTGTGCAGCACGACGCCAGCGGGGTTAGCACCAACGTCAGCAGATTGAGCGACTTGCAGGGAGACATCGGCAGCTGCGGCGGTATGGTCGGCAACTTTAGGGTCGGTTTCGGCTGGCAACCGTGGAACGGACGTAATTGGAACAGGGTGGTCGGCACCAACGCCTTCGCCGTCGGTGGGATGCTGAAGAGGCTGTAGAAGGCCAGCAGAACGCCGTTGGGTGAACCTCACGAATGAAGGACGCCGCTGGCTGAAGCTCCTCGCTCGAGCAGGTGCCCAGGGGGAGGATTAGCAGCGGCGGCCTCCCGTGCCCGTCTCCGTGAGCACGCTCAGCTGCAGGAGGTACGAAAAGCTGAAACCGACAAAAATGACGAACACCGCGTCGTGGAGCGCCGCGTTGGAGGCCGAGAACTTGACGGATGCAGGACGGCGCAGGCAGAAGCCTGGCAGCGCCAGAAGCACTAGCAGCATCTTCGAGCGAGCGGGCCCAGACGGGGCGAATGGGTATGGAAGTGCGGCCAAAATCGCAGGGGGCGGATGCCCTCGAGAGAAAAGGCCATGGAATCCATTTCGGCCCCGATTGGAGGTATCCCACTTGAGCAAAAATGGTTACGGATGAGGATGATGATGATGGTGATGATGATGGTGGTGATCGTGATGACGACGACGACAGCGACGACGACGACAGCGACGACGACGAGGGTGATGATGATGATGATGATGATGGTGATGGTGATGATGGTGGTGATCGTGATCGTGATCGTGATTACGACGACGACGACGACTACGACGACGACCAGGAGCTTTCGGGCCCCTCCCCCATCTTTCCCTCCCCTCCCCATCTTTCCCTCGCTCTCTCTCTCTCTCTCTTTTTCTCTCTGTCTCTCTCTCTCTCTCCTTCTCTTCCCGTTCCCTTGCAACGGCGTGCAACCGCCCGAATTTCCGCCCGGAGTTGCGGCCACGCTCGCAGGACATGCGGTCTGCAAGCGGAGGCGGGTGTTCTCTCGGGACAGATTTTGGCAACCATGCTGCCCACTTACTGTTGCTGTCTGCAACCGGCCGGCGCCGTTGCGACAAGAAGCGCGCCGCAGTTTGGCAGGCCAGGGGATGATACGTTTCAGGGCTACATCGTGTCTTGCGCCGTCTTGGCTTTTTCTTCTTCTGCTACTTCCTCCTCCTCTTCTTCCTGATTCGTCCGGTCTGCGGCTGGCCGCGACTGCTCAGCTCGCAACCCAGCTTCGCGTAACGACTCTTCTGGCCTGCGGCTGGCGCAAGGAAGGGGGGAATTTCGTTAAGTTACTTTTCCGCCCGGCGGCTTTACGCCCAACAGTTTCCCCTATCGCCCGGTTGCGCGCAATGGCTCGCCTATTGCAGGCTGGCCTGTGCGCTGCCCTTGGTGCTTTGGGTTTCTCCTCCGCCTCTCCTCTGTCCTCCTCCTCCTCGGCCGCTCGCCCGGGCAATGATTGTCACGGACGGCTCCTTGAGTAGGCTCCTGTCTGCTGAGGGGGGGGGGCAGGATGTGTCCGCCCCGGCCGCTTCCAGTTCAGTGTCGTGGAGGGTCCTTTGGAGCTTCGTGGTTGCTCTCCACTCCTCTCTCTCCGAAACAACCGATGGTGATGACGGTGATGATGATGCTGCTGATGATGCTGATGACGATGCATGAATCTGATCGTGGTGGTGGTGATGATGACGCTGATGATGATGTGGAGGAAGAGAGTGCGCCGGAAGATGGCATGGAGTGAGAGGGGAGTGGAAGGAGGGTGGGGAAGCGAGAGATAGTGGAAGAGATGGAGGAGGGAAGGCGCTCCCCTCGCGCTTCTCGTCCACCCTCCTCCCACGTATTTCCCCAAACAGTGACTGCACTGAGCGGTTCCCGCCGATGCTCCCAAGACGTCGGATGTGTCCGCCGAGGTGTCGCCACGCTGCCGCCCGTGGGCGCCCCGTGGGCGGCGGCCCCTGCGCTGCGTGGGTCTGCCGTGGTCTCGCCGCGCTGCCGCCCCCGTGGGCGCCTCGTGGGCGCCCCTGCGGGCGGCCCGTGCGCTGGGTGTGCCCGCCGAGGTCTCGCCACGCGGCCGCCTCGTCGCCGCCCCGCGGGCGCTCGTCGCAGCCCCGGGGGCGCCCGCCACAATGCGCCGGGTCGCTCCGTCGAGGTGCCGCCCGTGCCGCAGTGTGGGCGCTCACGGGCGCCCCTGTGCGCTCGGAGGGCTGCCTCGTGGGCGCCCCGTGGGCTGAGCTAATACCGCATGGCTTACACGACACGGCCTACACCACTCAGGTTTCACCACGTAGCTCATACTACACATGTGACACCACTTTGTGTTCACTTTCAGTCTATATAACATCGATTGCCTGACATAGCCTGCACCACATACGTCACAACGCATATGTTTCACCCCCCTAAGGCACAACACGTGGCTTACACGGCATTGCTTACACCACATAGCTTGCACCGCGTAGCTTGCACCTCCACAACGCAATAATTCTCTATTCGGGGTCCGTGCTGACTAAACTATGACCCTTGTTCTCCATCTTCAACTCCAGAACCCGCTTGCTCCTCAATCATTCAATTCGTTGTCCACCTCCTCCTCCTCCTCCTCCTCCTCCTCCTCCTCCTCCCGTTTCCCATCCTTATCATCCTGAGTATCCTCCCGTCGCCTACCTTTTCCCTCGGGGATTTGTCTGCCCCAAAATCTCCTGAGATCCCGGCGTCACGATGCCTGAAAACTGGGCGGCCTGCTTGTCGGCTGAGCCGGAGATGACAGCTCGCATCTCTTCTTGTCATCGTTCGGACGCCGATTCCCCGTCAACTGTTGGGTTTCGTGCGTGTTTCTCCAGATCATCCAGGGTGCTCCAAGATGGTCCGCACGACCTGGCGCTGAACTGGCCGAGAAAAATGCAGACATCCGAGCGATGACAAATCTTGCGTGGCCTTGGCCGCTGCGCTGTCCCCGGAAGGGCCACGGCTGACGAGCAAGGCATAACACCACTGGAGCACTGCCCCGTCCAGTGAGCACGCCTGGCGGCTCGCGGCTGTCCTGTGGGCGTAGCAGATGGCGTTGCTGGAATCAGCCGCCTACGCGCAGGAGTAACCCCAGGCAAGAGTGACATTTGGTGCGCGGCCCTGGAAGAGGCAAGAAAAACCACCCTCAGAATGAACACCCCGACAAGTGAAACCGTTCAGTCAGCGCACCCAAGGAAATAATCGAGCGGGGCAAGGCTGTTTAGTAAACGCCCAGCGCCGTTCAGTAAACGCCGTGCGGGCCCGCACCACACGTCACTCCGGCGAAGGGTCGCTCTTGCGCGTGGCCGAATTCGTGCTGGCGGAGATGGCGGAGCATGTCTCCCCCGGGCTTGCTCCTGGCCCCAGGAATTTCTCCCTACTCTCGGTGCCCCCATACTCTCTTCCGCCGTGTCGCACTGGCTGCCCACTCGTCACGAGCTGCTGGCGATGAGCAAGTGTGTTCGACTTTTGGGCAGAGGACGCTTGCGATGTGCCCCTCTCCAATTGAATTCGCGTGGCCCAGTTTGCGGAGTTGCATGATCTGTTTCCGAACTTATGCAAATATCGCAGATCTGCTCGTGCTTTCTCCTCCTTTTACCTATGTAATCCCTCTCGTGGTCCCCTCATCTCTGTGGATCTGGATTCCCTCTGCGTACGGATCCTAGACTGCCGCAATCGACTCGCACGGGTGCGCTGCCTACTCTCCGCAACTTTTTCGAGGGCAAGCTCGGCAAGGTCCGCGAAAGGCAAGGCCCGCCCGGGCGCCGATGCTGCGGCCGGCTAAGGAGAAAAGGGCAGCAACACACTCAAGCAGAGGTGAGACGGGCAACAGAAGGAAGAGGAGATGAGACATGCGAGAATAAGGGGATATGAGAGAGAAAGGGTGGACGAGAGGATGGGAGAAAAAAGAGGATACGTCTGAGGAGGGCGAGGAAGACAGATGGTTCGCAGGAATGCCACGGGACAGTGATGACGATGAGAGCCCAGAGCAAGAGGGAAGCACAAGACAAGACACTGCATACGAAAAAGAAGTATTGGGGAAGGAGGAGAAGGGAAGTGGAGGGGGAGTAACAGGAGGTGGCGGATGGACGAATTAAAAAATACGGAGGGGGCGGAGGTGGGATGAGTAATGAGTACAGTCGATCTGCTACCATGTGGAGCGCCTCACCAAGAACGACATCCTTTTGGGCACCCCCCAGAACTGCGTGGGTGCACGAAGAGCGCTAGAGGAACAAACATAGAAAGACCTGAGGAACAACACCTTCCGAGCACGAACCGTTCCTTGCTTCAGCGTCTTGGCCGTGAGGCGAAGGGGGGTGGACGGCTGGGAGAGGCTCCCGCGTGCGCGCGGCGGGTGGGCGCCGCCGACGCCCCTGCGTCACCTCCTGGGCTTTATGTTGCCAAGCCACACGGCCACCTGTGGGCGGATGCCCCGGCAAGTAGCGCGCGAGGGCGCTCGCGCTTCTCGGATGATGCAAGATGGCTCAGGTCGGACTGCGTCGCCTCCTCATGGCCCCAATAGGCCCTCAACAATCTCCAAGATGGGCCTGATGTGGCCCCCAATCATCCACAACACGTCCACCTGGAAGCCCACATCAAATGTAAACCGCGCTCTTGTGAGCGCAGCTTTGCATTTCCGACTTCCGATGGGACTCAGAGGCCTCTGGATGGCTCTCGATATTGACCCACAGGCTGAGAGGGTCTCAACGGATTCCAAGAACACACCAACAAGTTAGCACGAGGCCCTCAAGATGCCGTCTGCTGTGTTCAAATTGGTGGAGCTGATTAATGATGTGAGATGAGTTGTTCGTTAATGGCCTCCAGCATTGCCCGCATTGGACCCTAAAAATGCCCATCAATGAACCAATGTCTATCCCAAATCGGGATTCAATCAAGAAACTCCAATAGTCTCAACCTGAAAGCCATTATACGGCCAAACGTTGAACTAGAGCTAAGATGCTTTATATAGGCGAAGCCAGACTCAGTCAACTTGCACGCCGCATCAGTCAACGCTCAACTAAACCACGCCGAACTCAGCGCAGCCTAAGCAATCTAAGCTAATCGCAAGGATCGAATATCGACACTGGTATGAGCGGTGGGCGGCGAATCGGGGCGGGCGGGATAACATGGCCGAGGATGCGGATTGGGTCTAGCGCGGACGAGCGCGATCTATACCATAATCTCGGTCTCCTTTGAACCCTCCTGCGCCCTCCTCTTGCGCACTGTCTCTGCGGATCTCGCACAGGCCGCGGCACTTCCCCCCCAGGCTTCCCAGACTCCCAGCTCCCGAAACCCTCCGCCCCGACTCCTACGTTTGCTCGGCACGGTACCGCGGCACAGCCGGGCTCCAATGGTCCCCAGCTCCCCGAGAGCCTTTCTCAAGGTCCTGAAGACCCTCCGCCCCGACCCCTGCACTGTCGCACGGCATCGCGATACCCCCCCCCCCTCCGCGCTCCACAGGCCCCCACCTCCTCGAGCCCCTCCGCCCCGCCCCGCCCCCCTCGATTGTCGCACTGCACGACGCTGCTACATGCCCCCACGAAACAAAGCCAGGACGAGGACAGCATCCGGCGAGGACAAATCGAGAATCTCGGAGATCGGGCGGCTCCAGAAGATGTATCGGGCGCTGAAGCCCTGCCAGCGCGGTCCAGAACGCTCTGGAACGGATTCATCCTCGTCCCTGCCCAGTCCGACCCCGAGCTCTCCAGACTGGCCACGCGAGCGACTCACTTCCCTGTGGTCTGACTCTCCTCCAGGCTGCGAAGAGCGAACCGCAGTAGTTATCCTCTTGGGTTGGACCGAATGGGGGTTAGCGAAGCAAGCCACGTAGCTGACTCCACCGACGCCCCCGGAAGACAGAGGAGCCAAAATGTACAGAGGAAAGCGCCGAGCTGCAGATATCGTAGCCGCGCCTGTCCTCAATCCCCCATATTCTGGGAACAAGGGAAAGCGACACCACCACCACTGGAGCGAGAAGCCAGGAGAAACCCTCCTCACTCGATACGGTGTCCGATCCCCGTTCGAGACGTCCCCTATCCTCAGAGCAGCTCGGATAGGCATCGTGGACCTGGTCGCTGGAGGTGTCGCCCCTGCAATTGGTGGTGTCGCTCTTCCCAAAACTACGATGACTTGATCTTCCCAATGCGGGATCCCCAGAAGTCTCGATCCGGTCAACAAAGACGGGCTCCTTCATGCAAGTGTCCTTTGATGGTACGAGCGCGGCGAGGGCCTTTACCGGCTACGCGTACGAGTGACCCTGTGCAAGAGTGACCTTTGGTGCGCGGCTTTCGGGGGCCGCGAGGGGGGGCTAAACCCAAACGTGCAGGCCACTGCTGGGGGGACCCCTGTGAGCCCGCACCCAAGGTCATTTCCAATAGAGGGCCATTTTGACGTGAAAACTGCTTTAGAGTTTGAGTGGGTCGATTATGGCAAACACGACCGCCCTGGAATCTCTGAGGAATCTTTCTCGCGAATTCCCACGAATCTCCAATCTCGAAAAAATCTCCCCGCGAATCTCAAACAAATCTTCGCGTCTTGAAAAGATCCCAATGAATTTCAAACAGATCTTCGCGCGAAAAAAACTTCCAACGCATTTCAAAATTATCCCGGCGAAAGACCCAATCATGCGCAATTGTGAATACCGCGTTGTGGGTACCGCTTTCGGTGGAACTCCATATGGGGTCACGAACCGTGTGAGGGGTGTGCCCAAATGCGCGTCGGGCGCATGCGGTCTGTGACATTGGGGCCTTCGATGGAACTCCCTGTGGGGCCACAAACCGTGTGAGGGGTGCGCCGAAATGGGTGGCGTTCCCCGCATGCGGACCCTGCCACTAGGGCCTTCGGTGGAGCTCCCTGTGGGGCCACGAACCCTGTTGGGCCACAAACTGTGCGAGGGCTGTTCCGAAATGGGTGGCGGTCCCTGCCGCTGGGGCCTTCGGTGGAGCTCCCTTGTGGAGCCACGATCCTCGTGAGGGGTGTGCCGAAATGGGTGGCGGTCCCCGCATGCGGACCCTGCCGCTGGGGCCTTCGGTGGAGCTCCCTGTGGGGCCACGATCCTCGTGAGGGGTGTGCCGAAATGGGTGGCGGTCACCGCATGCGGACCCTGCCGCTGGGGCCTTCGATGGAGCTCCCTGTGGGGCCACGATCCTCGTGAGGGGTGTGCCGAAATGGGTGGCGGTCCCAGCATGCGGACCCTGTCACTGGGGCCTTCGGTGGAGCTCCCCGTGGGGCCACGATCCTCGTGAGGGGTGTGCCAAAAAGGGTGGCGGTCCCCGCATGCGGACCCTGCCGCTGGGGCCTTCGGTGGAGCTCCCCGTGGGGACACGATCCTCGTGAGGGATGTTCCAAAAAGGGTGGCGGTCCCCGCATGCGAACCCTGCCGCTGGGGCCTTCGGTGGAGCTCCTTGTGGGGCCACGATCCTCGTGAGGGGTGTGCCGAAAAGGGTGGCGGTCCCCTGCCGCTGGGGCCTTCGATGGAGCTCCCTGTGGGGCCACGATCCTCGTGAGGGGTGTGCCGAAATGGGTGGCGGTCCCCGCATGCGGACCCTGCTACTAGGGGTTTCGGTGGAGCTCCCTGTGGGGTCACGATCCTTGTGAGGGGTGTGCCAAAATGGGTGGCGGTCCCCGCATGCGGACCCTGCCACTGGGGCCTTCGGTGGAGCTCCCTGTGGGGCCACGAACCTTGTGAGAGGTGTGCCAGAATCGGATGGGCATGCGGAGAGCACAAGCAAGGGATAGGAGGAGGGAGGAGGGGGAGGGGGCAGCGGGAGGGAGGAGGGGGGGAGGAGAGGAGAGGAACGAAGAGGAGAAGAGAAGAGACGCGGGGCGCTGTCTCTTCAAAACGAAGACCCAACACGACAAAATGGTTGGGAACAAATGTCGCGCCTTCAACATCTCCAACGGATCTCCGCTGGAATTTTTCTGTAGATTCGCCACATATGGTCCAGAGATTTCCGCACGCAAGAGATATGCCAGAGATTTGCCAGAGATGTTCCGGAAATTTGTCCGAGAGTTCTGCACGCCGGAGATTTGCTGGGGTATGTTCCGGAGACTCTGGGAATGCCCAAAGACAATCTGGAGATTTCCCCAGAGATGTGTCATCCAGAGGGCCCAGGTCGCGTTTGCCATGTTGGCCCAATCTATAGGGCGGAAAAACGGCAAAACATCTCCGTCCTGGTTCCCTGCAGGTGCAGGCGCCTCCTATCTGGAAGCCCGAAATGGGACGGATGGGTACGAGGCCCACCGCAGAATGCTGTCCCAAACCGACAGCGGCCGACGCTGGGCAGGCGGCCTTCTGTCTTTAATGGACACTGCCCGCGGCGGCGCGGACATCGAGTCCTGCTAAAAATTGCCGGTCTTTGCACCCATTCTTTCCGCACTTTGCCTTCCCCCCTCCCCCATACCCCCTCTGCGTGCGGCGCGTGGCTGACGCAATTTCTCTGGATGTCACAATAGTGGGGGGGGGTACAAAAATGTTTGACGGCTCGTTTTGGACCCCCCCTTGGGAGGCAAATGAGGGTCCAAAATCGAGACCCTCCCGAAACCTTGTTTGACGAGGCCCGTTAGACCTGGCCCGGCACAGAAACGGAAAAAGCGCTTCAGAAACAGAAACCGAACTTACTCACACCACCGTTCGTACTGGGAGCCTTGGCGTGGAGAGCTTGTTACGTCACCCCCCGCTCTTGGGAGCCTTGGTGTTCAGAGATTGTTGCGTTGCCGCCCGTTCCTGAGCCTTGGCTGGGCCTTGGTGTCAGGAACTTGTTATGTCACCGCTCTCTGCTGGGAGCCTTGGTCTTATCAGCTTGTTCACGTCACCGTTCGCTCTTGGGAGCCTTGGTGTTAAGAGCTTTTTGCGTTACCGATCGCCCTCTATTTGGCGTCTCTGGGCCTGCTTGGGAGTCCTATTGGGGCCCTTGTCGGGCCCTTTTGGAAGCCTCTTGGGAACCTCTTTGGGGCCTCTTGGGGCTTCTTGGGGGGCTCTGGGGGCGAAAGGCTAGACTTTTCGGTTCGTGGTCCCCCTCTTGGGGCCGTCTTGGGGCCCTCTTGGGCCGTCTTGGGGCCCTCTTGGGCCATCTTGGCGCCCTCTTGGGCAGTTTTTGGGGCCTCTTGGGAGCCTCTTGGGCCGTCTTGGGGTGGTCTTGGGGGCCTCTTGGAGCGTCTTCAACGCAGTGAAAACCGAAAAGCCTTGTATGCTACAAATGTACCTTTTCCCATGGGACATCAATAATTTTCGCCTCCCGGTGGCCTCTTGGGACGCCTCTTGGGGCTTCTTGGGGGGCTCTGGGGGCCTCCTGGGAGCTTCTTGGGGCGAAAGGCTAGACTTTTCGGTTCGTGGTCCCCCTCTTGGGGCCGTCTTGGCGCCCTCTTGGGCTGTCTTGGGCCCTCTTGGACCGTTATGGGGGCCTCTTGGGAGCCTCGTGGGCCGTCTTGGGGCGGTCTTGGGGGCCTCTTGGGCCGTCGTCAACGCCGTGAAAGCCGACAAAGCGCATATGCTAAACATATACGTTTTCCTCTGGAAAATCTGTGATTTCGGCCTCATGGAGCCCTCTTGGGACGCCCCTTGGGCGCCTCTTGGGGGCCTCTTGGGGGCCTCTTGGGCGGTCTTGGGCTCTCTTGGAGCGCTCTTGGGCCGTCTTGGGGGGGAACCCGCAAAACATGTAAAAAACCAGAGGGAAAACCCGAAAAAGGCCATTAACACGCAAATGTTCCCCCCTCTCCCCCTCTGCACTCCCCCTAAGGGGCTTCGCCCACACCAAAACGTCATCACTCGTACCTCGCTCTTTCCGTTACCTGGCCCGGCACAGAAACGGAAAGAGCGCTTCAGAAACAGAAACCGAAATTACTCACACCACCGTTCGTACTGGGAGCCTTGGCGTGGAGAGCTTGTTACGTCACCCCTCGCTCTTGGGAGCCTTGGTGTTCAGAGATTGTTGCGTTGCCGCCCGTTCCTGAGCCTTGGCTGGGCCTTGGTGTCAGGAACTTGTTACGTCACCGCTCTCTGCTGGGAGCCTTGGTCTTATCAGCTTGTCTACGTCACCGTTCGCTCTTGGGAGCCTTGGTGTGAAGAGCTATTTTTGCATTACCGATCGCTCTCTATTTGGCGCCTCTGGGCCCTCTTGGGAGTCCTATTGGGGCCCTTGTGGGGCCCTTTTGGAGGCCTCTTGGGAACCTCTTGGGGGCCTCGTAGGGTTTCGTGGGGGGCTCTGGGGGCCTCCTGGGAGCTTCTTGGGGCGAAAGGCTAGACTTTTCGGTTCGTGGTCACCCTCTTGGGGCCGCCTTGGGGGCCTCTTGGGCCGTCTTGGGCGCCTCTTGGGCAGTCTTGGCGCCCTCTGAGGCCGTTTTGGGGGCCTCTTGGGCCGTCTTTGGGTGGTCTTTGGGGCCTCTTGGAGCGTCTTCAACGCAGTGAAAGCCGAAAAACCTTGCATGCTAAAAATTACCTTTCCCATAGGAAATCCATGATTATCGCCTCCCGGTGGCCTCTTGGGACGCCTATTGGGGGCCTCTTGGGGATTCTTGGGGGGCTCTGGGGGCCTCCTGGGAGCTTCTTAGGGCGAAAGGCTAGACTTTTCGGTTCGTGGTCCCCCTCTTGGGGCCGTCTTGACGCCCTCTGGGGCCATCTTGGGCGCCTCTTGGGCCGTCTGGGAGCCCTCTGGGCCGTTTTGGGGGCCTCTTGGGAGCCTCTTAGGCCGTCTTGGGGCGGTCTTGGGGACGGCTTGGGCCGTCGTCAACGCCGTGAACACCGACAAGCGCATATGCTAAACATGCACGTTTTCCTTTATGGAAAATCTATGATGTCGGCCTCTTGGGGCCATCTTGGGACGCCACTTGGGCGCCTCTTGGGTGCCTCTTGGGGGCCTCTTGGGGGCCTCTTGGGCGGTCTTGGGCTCTCTTGGAGCGCTCTTTGGCAGTCTTGGGGGGGAACCCGCAAAACATGCAAAAACCAGAGGGAAAACCCGAAAACGGCCATTAACACGCAAATGCGCACGCTACCCCCCTCCCCTGGAACCCCTCCCTTTAGGGCTTCGCCCACACCAGAAAGTCATCACTCGTACCTCGCTCTTTCCGTTACCTGGCCCGGCACAGAAACGGAAAGAACGCCTCAAACAAATGAACCGCAATTACTCACACCACCGTTCGTACTGGGAGCCTTGGCGTGGAGAGCTTGTTACGTCACCCCGCGCTCTTGGGAACCTTGGTGTTCAGAGATTGTTACGTTGCCGCCCGTTCCTGAGCCTTGGCTGGGCCTTGGTGTCAGGAACTTGTGACGACATCGCTCCCTGCTGGGAGCCTTGGTCTTATCAGCTTGTTTACGTCACCGTTCGCTCTTGGGAACCTAGTGTGAAGAGCATTTTACCTAACAGCGAAGACTGATAGGTTTCTAGTGGGATCAAAAGAGAGCAGCAGATCACTCCACAGGGGGGTCCGGGCAGGTGTTGGGAGTTGCCGGGCGGCAGGTGCCGGGCTCGTTTTTCACCAACAGTCACACACTTCGTGCTCTTCGCCTTCCCAGAACTCCATTCCCAGGCCACATTCTGAATACCCGGATGCAACAGTCACACACAAAGTGCTCTTCGAGATCCCAGAACGCCATTCCCGGGCCACATTCTGAATAACCGGATGCAACAGTCACACACTTCGTGCTCATCGACATCCCAGAACGCCATTCCCGGGCCACATTTAGAATAACCGGATGCAACAGTCACACACTTCGTGCTCTTCGAGTTCCCAGAATTCCATTCCCGGGCCACATTTTGGATGCCCGGAGCCAACTGTAGGCCACTTCGTGCTCTTCGAGTTCCCAGAACTCCATTCCCGGGCCACATTTTGAATGCCCGGAGCCAACTGTAGGCCACTTCGTGCTCTTCGAGTTCCCAGAACTCCATTCCCGGGCCACATTTTGAATGCCCGTAGCCAACTGTAGGCAACTTCGTGCTCTTCGACTTCCCAGAACTCCCATTCCTGGGCCACATTTTCAGCAGGGGCAAGAGCACGACGAGGAGGAGGACGAGCAAGACCAGGAGGACGAGGACGAGCAGGAGCAGGACGAGGAGCAGGAGGAGCAGGAGAAGAAGGACGAGCAGGAGGAGGAGGAGGACGAGCAGGAGGAGGAGGACGACCAGGAGGAGGAGGACGACCAGGAAGAGGAGGAGGAGGAGGAGAGGGGGAGGGGAGGAGTACCAGGAGAGGAGGAGGAGGGAGGAGGAGGAGAGGAGGAGGAGGAGGAGGGGGAGGGAGAGTACCAGGAGGAGGAGGAGAGGAGGAGGAGGAGGAGGAGGAGGAGGAGGAGGAGGAGAGAGGACACCAGGAGGAGGAGGACGAGCAAGACGAGGAGGACGAGAACGAGGACGACCAGGAAGAGGAGAGGAGGAGGAGGAGGAGGAGGGAGGACTACCAGGAGGAGGAGGAGGAGGAGGAGGAGGAGGAGGAGAGAGGAGGAGGAGGACGAGGAGGAGGAGGAGGAGGACGAGGAGGAGGAGGGGGGGGGAGAGCACCAGGAGGAGGAGAACGAGGACCACCAGGAGGAGGAGGAGGAGGAGGAGGAGGAGGAGGAGGAGGAGAGCACCAGGAGGAGGAGGACGAGCAAGACGAGGAGGACGAGAACGAGGACGAGCAGGAGGAAGAGGAGGAGGAGGAGGAGGAGGAGGAGGAGGAGGAGCAGGAGAAAGAGGAGGAGGAGGAGGAGGCAGGCTGAGGCTGAGGCTGTGACTGCGACTGCCGTTGCCGCTGCGACTGTCATCGCGAATGCGACTACGACTGCGAGAACAGCAGAATTCGACAACTGGATTTTCATCTGAATCTTAAGGGGGATGCTTTCAGATATGCTTCTACACATCGCTGTTAGGTTGCTTTGCCGGGATAATTGCTTTACCGATCGCTCTTCATTTGGCTTCTCTGAGCCTTCTTGGGAGTCCTATTGCGGGCCTTTTTGAGCCCGTTTGGGGGCTCTTGGGGGCCTTTTGGGGATTCTTGGGGGTCTGTGGGGGCCTCCTGGGAGCGTCTTGGGACGAAAGGCTAGACTTTTCGGTTCGTGGTCCCCCTCTTGGGGCCGTCTTGACGCCCTCTGGGGCCGTCTTGGGCGCCTCTTGGGCCGTCTGGGAGCCCTCTTGGGCCGTTTTGGGGGCCTCTTGGGAGCCTCTTGGGCCGTCTTGGGGCGGTCTTGGGGACCTCTTGGGCCGTCGTCAACGCCGTGAAAGCCGAAAAGCCGTATATGCTAAAAATGCACGTTCCCTAAGGAAAATCAATGATTCTGGCCTCTTGGGGCCCTCTTGGGACGCCCCTTGGACGCCTCTTGGGGGCCTCTTGGGGGCCTCTTGGGCCGTCTTGGGCGGTCTTGGGCTCTCTTGGAGCGCTCTTGGGCTGTCTTGGGGGGGAAACCCGGAAAACATGCAAAAACCCGGGTCCAAGGAGACCTGCTCGTCGAGCGTGGCAGCTGAGCGCGCGCGCGCGGCCGCCTGGCCCTCCCGCGTCTTCATGGACTTCTCGGGCAACCAGCCGGCCTTGGGCTCATCGCCTGAATGCTGAGGCGAAGCCAGGGCAGGGACCAGGTCGGACCAGGATAAATCTCGAGCGCCGTGGAAGGGGGGGGATATAAATGGAGGGGAGGAGATACGTGCACCCGTCGTGCCCCTTTTGGGCCCCAGGGGGGCCCTTTAGGGTACCGAAGGCGGACCTTTCTTCACCCCCCGTGCCCCACGCCCGAAAATTGTGAGTCTCTGAAGTCTGGCCGCTCTGTAGGATATGTAAGGGGGCAGTGGCCGTTCCAGAGCTCCGGGAAGCTCCGAAACAACTTCTCCCTGTCTGTGCCCCGCGCGAAAAGTGAGGGGTGGGGGCGATGGCACCGAGGCAACGACGAAGCGATGGTGGGACGTGGCGATGCCGAGAGAGGGGGAGATTGGAGAAGGGAGCGGAGGTGGAGGGGGGAGGATTGAGCTGAGGCGAGGAGGCGGGAGGGCGGGGAGCGAGGGAGGTAGGAGCAGCAGCTCAGGATCTGCAAGAGCCTCTGTCGCCCCTCGAACGCCTCATGCTATGTGGTAGTCGAATCGGAAGCGGCTTTCTCCCGAATTAACGCCACCTACACGTACCGATTTGTTTGCTCAATCTCTCTACGTATACAGTCCACCAGTATAGTAAGGATGCGCGATAAGGATGCTGCAAGGGCCTTGGACGCTCATTTCGAAGATTTTCGAGCAGGGCGCGGCCAACGAAAGTGGCAAAGGATGGACCGAGGAGGCAAGAATGCAAGGGTACCCCTGAAAACTTTGCCCATTGCGGGTTGACTGTAATATGTTCAGTGTCTGAAGTTGAATCCAACTGTGGCGACGAGGAGGACACCTGCAGGCCGCATCAGCAGGCCCTCAATGGCGTGTTAACCATGTGGTAGAAATTGAAGTGCCCACAGTGGAGCGAAACTGTCAGGCAGGGGTGGGGGACCTGGTCGCCAGCGCAATGGCGATGCAAGTTGGCATTGCAACACAATCACACTGCGACAGAGGCCCATGTGATTCCACTTACGGCCTCGTTGAACGGTACACCCGTCACGGTGTATCTGGTACAAGTGTTTGAATTGTTCGTAAACTTCGAATCCAGACTGACCAAGCCACCATGATCGTCATACTAAGTTCTCCGCACCTCTGGCTATGCCAGAATAACGGTGTCCTCTGCTATGACAGCAGCTGCTCACAAGCATGCAGGGAGCGCTCTCGATAGAAGATTGATATGGCTGCTGAGCTTGCTGGAACCAAGTGGCTTCACCCATAGCTTGAACAAGAGGGACAACGTGGTTCTCTTGCGCCAATATGGCTACCGACGTGCCCGCTCTGGTTTTCCAGGTCCCACTACGAACCGAATATTATCTAGTTCGTGAGCGAAGATGGTTCTGCTCGGGATGGTGCCATAGGACGCTCGACCATGGCGAACACTCCACCAGAAAACAGGTGACCAACAATTACTGTCACCCCTTGGGCCAGCAATATCAACGAACTCCTTGGTGACCAAGTGTTGAAACTAAGTTTGACTACATGCGCAACCGTCTATACAAAGTTCATGAAAGGTTAGCAACACATGCACGCACTTCTGTTTTTCCAAGTCGACGCCCGAGCTTGTGAGACGTACATGACTCCCCCGAGGGAGGCCGCAACTTCCACCACCCCGAACACCCAAAACCCACGCTAAACACCTTGACCCGATCCAATGGGATAGCCTGAATGAGGGCCTCGGGCAACCGTCTGGAACGGCACCAACGCCATGATAAACAACTCTCTTCGTAAGACGGCCTTCGCGACACACCCCACTGCATTGCCCACTCCGCCCCCCAACCTCTCCGCCCATTCCCATCCCCTTCTCCCTGTCTTTCCCGCTCCCTGCCCTTTCCTTCCCAACCTTCCCCGCCCCTACCTCCTCCTCCACCGCCCCCTGCCCTCATCTGCCCACCCCCCCTTCCAAAACTTCCAGAGATCCGTGCGTCCGTTCGTCCTCCGCGGTCCTCGTCTGTCGTCCGTCCGTCCGTTGCGTCATCTGTCTGCCCCCTGCCGCGAGGCTCCTCCTGCGTTGGCAAACAAGGCGCCCCTCTCTTCGCCGCCCCTCCTTTGAACACCAGAAGTGGGTGCGGCAAGAATGGGCGCGAGGCCCACCGACAATGTTGTCCGAAACTGGCAGCGGCCGCTGTTGGGCAAGCGAGCTTGTGTTTCAAAGGGGCACCGTCTGCGGCGACACCGACAGCGATTCCGGTTCAGAACGGACAGGAGCTGTTGTCGGTCTTCGTGCCCATTTCTTTCCGCACCCCTTTCGATCACACCGATCCTCCGCGCCCCCTGGCCTCGACGCGGTCTGCGGCCCGGCGACTCGCTGCTGGGCCAAAGCTTCTTGCCGCGGTCGGGGCCCCTGCCCAGGGCGGCGAGGCGTGGCGGGGAGGCTCTCTGCCCCTGCCCCTGCCCCCCCCTACTGCAGGCGAGTCCAGGAGCCGGACGGAATCGGACCTGGCACATCGGAGTTCTCTGAGATCTGGCGGCTCTGGCCTTCCAGAGCTCTCTGAGAACGTTCTGAGAACGTTTTGATAACGTTCTGGAACGAGGTATCCTACTCCTAGCCTCGCCCGACCACTCCTCGTCGTGGCGCTGCTGCTGGTCTGGCTGGGCTCAAGCAGCACGAGCTTCCAAGCGAGACAAACGAGAAGCGGGGCGCCAAATGACGGCCCAAGGAACCGTCCTCACTCTCCCAACCTCCTCGCTGTGATTCCAGAGGTCTCCGCAAAGGTACTTTCGCGCACGTTACACGATCGAAATGTGTATCACCCCCCTGACTTCCAGCCCTGAGATGAGCCAATCTCACATTCGAATCGAGCGTACGGCAGAGCCTACATATGTTCGCTAGCCGCGGACAACAGCGAAGCATGCTTGACAGACTTGCTACGATGCAGAAAATCATTAGACTCATAACCACTATCAACATACCAATCAATTTGAGTCAGTACTTTCCACGCGACAGTTCTCGTGTCGGGCTAAGTAAAGCTTGACTCCAATGCTCGAAATACATGCACACTGACACAAACATGAATCTGTGTGCACATCTAGAACTGCTGGTGCTGCACCAAACTAAGCAACACCACACTCGGAAACACATATGTGTGTACCGTGATGGCGAAACACGGCTTGGGGTAAGCACAACAATATATGAACGATCCATGTAAATTGCTCCAATCGGTTCGGCCGAATAGTCCGCGAGTAAAAAGCGATTGTTCCAGCACCAGTCTCATGCATCGTGTTCTCTGGACTGGCGTGGCCAGGTGATTCCTGTTGGGTGGGGGCTGCTTGGTCTTTGCCGTCTCGGAGCGAGATGGGGGCTCCATCTGACATCGAAGGGCGGCTGGGCCACCGCTGGACTGAAGCTCGGAGAAAGCCAATTGAGACACTGGCGGACCAACTCTGCTCTACATAGGTCCCATGGACTCCAGGAGTTCAGCCTGACCCAATTCTCGAGGCGGATCCAGCCGTGGCGACGATAAGCCTCCAGGATGCCACAACAAGACACGAAACGCCAGGGATGCCCACCGTTGTCTGGTCTGGACCACCTCCGAGAAGCACTTGGCCGAGCCGAGGCTGAGGGAAAACGAGGGTGGGGGGACTGGCCCAGGGTAGAAAACATCGACCTGGAATCGGCGACACTGAGATATGCTCTCGATAGCGAAACGTGTACGTTCCTGGGCGGGGTAGGCTATGAAACCCAGATCGGCGATGAATGGGCGATTGGTGGTCGGTGAATCCAGCCTGGTCAACCAACGGGCCCCCTACGCAACCCCAGGGGGTGCTGGCGGGCCACGAGAAACAACGAAACTAGAAGGGCAATGGTGTAGATAAGGACTCGATTGGCTCAAGATGCGTTGCAAAAAACTTCGGAATGTCTTCTTCCTGGATCCCGTGCGGAACAGAACGGTGCTCGCGGACGCCCAGGGAATCTGGGACCCGATCAATACCAGGCCATTCGCTCCTCTGAGAGAAACGCCAGGGAGGGCCGCCAATGCCTGGGGGCGTCCATGAGAGGCGCGTCCAAGCAGGGGGTTTGTACATCATGGCTGGAGGCATGTGGTCGACCCCAGAAAAACCATGGGAAACATATAAGGAAGAAGAACGAACCATGGAATCGGAGGAGCGATCATGGCCCCATCCGTGGTATCTGCCCCTCCCCCCCTTCCTGTAGCCATTTCCCCCCTCTTTGAGGACGCCCCCTGACTGCCCCCACTGGCCCTCTACTGGACCAGAGATCGATCAACAACACAAACATAATCCCACCAGCCCTCTGGAAGTCGGTGGTTTATGGGGTGTCCTCTTCCACCCCTCCTTCTTCCTCTTCGGGGAGGGGTTTATCACTGTTCCCCATTCGTATACACCCCCTCCCCCAGGCGACTGGGGGCCAACCAGGGTCCATGCCGACACCTCCCCACCATCCCTTGTAACAGAACAATACAAAACACACTCTGCCTCCAAATTAGGAACATGCGCAGCCAACCCGATGCGCCCCCCCCATCCCTGTCAAACACGATACAGAGTGCACTTGGCGGCGGCGGCGGCTGCGGCGGCGGCGGCTGCGGCGGCGGATTGGCCCCCAGTAGCTGCCCATCCAAAGACGACTGCTGCATATGCTGCGGCTCGGCCCAGGCTCGGGTGCTACGTATGTGTTGGGAGGGCGGGTGGGAATGAACGAGACGACTTGCGGGCGGGGAGGGAGACTCTGGACCCCTCCCCCTACCCCCCCCCCTGGACCTGGACGGGGGGGGGGGGTCGCGAGTCGTCAGGGCGTCCAAAACGGACTCGGCGAGGAAGCCACAATCATTGGAGTTACCATAGTTTTGGCTCCATGTTGGCCTCCTGAGGGGGGGACCCTAATTGACGCTCCCCTCTTGTTTGATCGATCTCCTCCAAGATGGCTCCAAGAAGCGCCCAGGAGACCCCAAGAGGTCCCAAGATGGCCCAATATTGCCCCCAGAGGCCCCCAAGAGGCCCCCAGGAGGCCCCCCAAAGGATCCCAAGCGGCCCCAAGAGGCCCCCCCCGAGGCACCCACGACGCCGAAGAACCCCCCACGACCGCCAAGAGACCCCCAAGACGTCCCAAGAAGCCACCAAGAATCGCCCAAGAGATACCCCAAAAGGCTCCGAGAGGCATCCAAGAGACCTCTGGCCCTTGTGTTTGCCCCCCTCCTCCTCCTCCTGTTCCTCCTTCCTCCTCCTACTCCTTCTCTTCCTCCTCCTCCTCATCCTCGTCCTCGTCCTATTCATCATCCTTCGTCCCACTCCCTCATCCATCCATCCACCTCTTCCTTCTCCTCCTCACTCCTTTGCACGGTTCGGCGTTCCCCCTCTTTGCTGCCGCACTTCCCTGATCACCTCAACTCGCCTGGACATCGTTTCTGGATGGGTTGGTGGGGATACGCGAAGCGTCTAGAATATTCCTGTGACGTCCGCGCGGACTTCTCGGATCGGCGCTGGATCTCTCTCCCTGGCGCGCGGGGTGGTACGCAATAGAGGTACCCCTAATCAATTGGGAAAGGACCTAAGTTGGGAGGCCCAACTCACAAGGGATAGAGGGTCTCCCCCGCAACTGCATCAAACAAAACAGCATACATTCAGTACCCCATAACGCAAGACGGGTGACCCGAGTTCGGCCAAGCCTTCAATATGTTATTCGAATTTGGGGGTTCTTGTATTCTCGATGGCGGAGGGCGCCAGAGGCAGCGCCGGAGGCGCCGCCACGGGGAACCAACGCTGACCCAAGAAACCTGTGCGGAGCTCAGAGAAATCCGGTACGTGCAATTTTTCCCTACCATCATGTGGTGTTGGGTCCTCGTTGGAAGAGACAACGCCCCGCGCTTACTCCTTCCATCCTTCCTCCTCCTCCTCTCCTCTTCTCCCCCTCCTCCCTCTTCCCATCCGTGCCTGCCCCCCGCGTGTCTCTGCTTCGGTGCACCACTGGCACGTTTCGTGGCCCCATATGGAGCTACACCCAAGGCCCCAGTTGCGGTGCCTGCGTGCGCTATCGCCACCCATGTCGGCGCACCCCTCACGCACGTTCGATGGGGCTAGTAGATGCCCACGGGGCACCGACCCCGGCACCGCAGATTCGCCGAGAAGGGCTGCAGAAGGGAGCGAATGGAAACGGACGTGGCCACTCTGGACCGCCCCCCGAGAAACGCAGACCACGATGGGCCATCCCGAAGGGAAGAACACGGAACCGCGACCACGGACGCGTCCGACCCGCTGTGGCGAGCGGGCGCGCCGCGCGTCGCCCTAGTGGTCAACCAAAGCGGCGCTATGGCAAGCAGAAAACAACAAACACCCTGGGCGGACGCCCTGCCCCCAAAATGGCCACTATGGGCAAGTAAGGCGCCGCAAGCATGACAAGGTGCTTGGCCAGGCGGCAGATTGGAGACATTTCGACCGTGCTCGGAAAGGCAGGTGAGCAAGAGAGGACACCGACGCACGGCCGCGGGGCATGCCGGCAAGCCCGCGCGGGGGCCTGGCCCGCCCGACGGAGCGGCGGCGCGCGGCGGGCGGCTATGCAACCGCCCGCCATCGCGCTCTGCGACGCAGACGGGGCACCCCCCCGCGCCAGTCGACTTATGACTTGCGATAACAAAATACTACCGCCCAAGAAGGGTGAAAGATACGGGAAGGATGTGGATACAAAACGGCGGCGCCCGGGGCTCGGCCCACCGCGGGACAGGCGGGCAAGGGCGCAGTGAACGACGGAAACAAAGAAAGTGGATGGGAAGAAAATCGGCACGAAACAGCAGCGCACGCATATTTGGCCGACCGAAGAAGATTCCCCGCTCGCCCACGTCAGCTTCCCTCCCCCAGCATCCACGCCGCAGTCCAGTTGTTGGTCCCCCTCCCTCATCTCATCTGCCTCGCCATGCTCGAAGGCCCCAAAGGCGGCACCCGCATGGCGGCCCCGCCATTTCGGCAAGCCCTCCACACCGACGGCACACGAATTTTCGATCAAGACAAGGCAATGCCCCCGGAAGTCTGGGCCCTTCCCCAGGGCCATATTCTAACCCAGGACCGTTTCTTGACGTCCCCGGGGCCTGGCGAGAACCTCCAAAGGCGGAGAAAGGCGCAACACTTCCCGCTTGATTTTGGATGCATTTCGAAGAGGCCCCTAGATGTCGTCTTAGGAGATCTGGTCGGGGCATCGCGCCGCATCACCAATGCACCTCCCACGCATCGGCGACGCATTGGTAGTGCATCGGCGACATTGGCGATGCAAGGCGCCGTCGGCGTGGAGAACCTCGGGCTCCTCACCGAACCGCGTCAGCGACGCATCGGCGATGTGGCGCGATTCTCCGACCCCATCTGTTCGGACCCCTACTGGAAGACATACGGCAAAATCGT